AAATTTGTAGAGAAAAACAGATATAGTCTGTCTCGGTATCATGCATTTGATTGTGATGTTCCTGATACCATAAATAAACATATCATGGAACCAAAAATGTATGACAGTAAAATAAGTTTTTAAAAGTTGACTCGCTAATATTTTTAACAATTCGGTAGAAAGTGATGCCTTGATGCATGAGATTATTAAATATTTTTTTAAAGCACGTGTGATGCATTTTTCAGGATTCTTATGTTCAAAAGAAAAGCATTTATTTGAAATAGATTTTTTTTCCAACATGTCTTTACTGTCACTTTTAAACAATTTAAAGGGATAGTTGACCCAAAAATGAAAATTCTGTCATTAATTACTCACCTTCGTGATGTTCCAAACCCGTAAGACCTGTAAGACCTTCGTTCATCTTTGGAACACAAAATTAAGATATTTTTGATGAAATCCACGAGCTTTCTGACCCTCCATAGATAGCAACGCAACTACCACGCGCGTCGAAGACTGACACAGATGAGAAGAAATTGTTGAATAAAGTTGTCATTTTTGTTTTCTTTGCGCACAAAAAGTATTCTCATAGCTTCATAACATTACGGATGAACCACTGATGTCACGCAGACTATTTTAACAATGTCCTTATTACCTTTCTGGGCCTTGAATGTGGTAGTTCCATTGCGGTCTATGGAGGGTCAGGAAGCTCTCGGATTCCATCAAAAATATCTTAATTTTGTGTTCCAAAGATGAACGAAGGTCTTACAGGTTTGAAACGACATGAGGGCGAGTAATTAAATGACAGAATTTTCATTTTTGGGTGAACTATCCCTTTAATGCATCCTTGCTCGATAAAAGTGTATAAACAAAAAGTATAAAAATAAAATCTCACCGACTACACATTTTTTAATGGTAGTCTATAAAAGTTTTTTTAGTCACAGAGTGTGTGTCTTACTGGGTCAGGATTAAACTCTATGGGTGCTGGATCCTTGCAACTACAAATGCTTCCATATCCTTCCACTTTACTGCAGAAGAGTTTTCTCCGGCGGTTCAGCTCAGTGTCTGCCCAATGGCACTCTGCCTCTGAAATGAGTCACAACGTCAACAGACAGCTTCAATACGATCCATAACATAACTACAACAAATGAACTCTACACTCAAAATAATAAAGGCAGACATACCTTCAGAAGCTGTCAGCTGGACCTCAGTCTTCAGCAGCACAGGATCGCCCCATGTGGACAGAGCAGGAGACTTGGAGTGCTTCTCCCCATACACTTGACCTGAGAAAATAAATAGTACATTTATATCACATCCCAGTGGAAAAAGAGGTGTTTTCTATTTTAATATATTATAAAATGTAATTTATTACAGTATATTAGAATGATTTCTGAAGGATCATGTGACATCGATCAAGGCATTATCCTTACCTCCCTTCTTTACAACCAGAGTCCACATATCCCTCCAGCCTAAGGGGACAGCTGCCTGACTCCCCAAACCTTTCAGAAGATTCTTTGCTGAATCCTTCAAGTGGAAAGTCCCCTCATCCTGAAGAGGCCAATAAGAAGTGCACTTAAACACAAAGAAAACACAAATCTGAAACCATGAAAGTGGATGGGAGAGGCCTATCTTTAACCTTAATAGTGAAGATGAGGATTCTGCCACGCGTGACCATGTTGAGAAAGAGGATCATGGCTTCATCCTCATGGGGAGAGTAAGTATCAAACACTCTTTTGGCCATGACGTGACCCTGAAGGAAGATGATACAGAAAAATGCTATCATATAAATTTATAAATAATCTTGACAACTTAAAAAGATAGTAATGATAAAAGAAAATACAGTTTGTCATGAGAAGTGAATGCGTGTTCTTACAGTTGCCTGATTTAGAACTATAACATGTACGCCTCGGCCCTGCTCCCTCATCTCATCTTCCAGAACCTGCAAAAATACATCAAACATTGTTGACAGTGTTATCTGGTAATGGTGTGGCAAATTTGTCTTGTCATATAAAACAGGGCTTTAATCACTTACAGTGGTGCCATCCACTGCTACATAAACCTTAGATCGACTAGAGTACACCTCGATATCTAAAACCTTCCTCCCACTCACTGGTCTGCGCGGGGTTTCCATGTTAGGCAGGGCATCATCTGAGACAATGTTCAATAATAACAAACAAAAATAAACTAGTATTCAAAACTGACAGTGTGTAAACATTAAAAAAGCACAATGATTTTAGTGTCTTTACAATTCCATTCATAATAATAATATTTTAAATCTCTTAACACGTCAAGGCATCATAAAAAAATGTCCACAAAAGCAATTAATCGACATTACCATACTCTTGAGCTGCATCATCCTCACTGGCAACTCTCCTTGTGTCAAGAATGAGTTTGATATTTACAATCACTGTGATCAGTAGAAACAGGACAGCACTGGCCTGCGCACACACACACACACATTATTATTTAAATATAGACAGTTATACATACTACAACTTAACCCAACATTTCTAGCAGCATTATAACTTGTGTGCAAGTTGAACTGAAAAATTAACAAATTTGATCAATTCTGATGATTTGAGACGCTCCACTGAACATCTGGTGCTTCACCAGAAGCAAGAACATCTGACCGTTTGTGCAAGAATCACATGGTCAGTGTCACAAATTTGCTTTGATTAGTGACCTAGGCTAGAAATATTTTGTTCTTTTTAATTCGCAAAATTTCTTTTTCAATTTTTTTTAAATCAAGTGCTGCTCAGCTAACCATAATATGACTACAACATAAACTGATAACCAAACTTTCGTTGTGACAAAGTAACTAGTGACTACCTGAAAAGTGAAACGCCTGTATTCATTTTCACAATCTAACATTTAAGAAGTTGTCAGCAATTCCGATGTTGTGGTAAAGCCGTGGATCAACAGTTGTGTTGTTATCAGTTAGTGATTTTTATTTATTTATTTTTTTAAATGGATTATTCTATGAAATGGCATATAGTTGTATTATAGTAGTAATAAATGAATACATGCCCTATTTCGCAAAAAATAATAAAAATAATTCAATGAATGCAAAATTAATTCGGTTTATTTTGGAAAACACAATACATAAATAAATAAATAAATAAAGTATGTCTACTTAAAGATACAGCAAATACAAGTAAACTTGAGGTTGTATAGTCACAAGGACAGAAAACTAAAACCCCCATTATTAGTGTTCAAAGATAATCTTATTAAGTGACACGTGCTGACCTGGCAGATTCGTCGCACTGCTCTTTTGTTGGTGAGTCTGTATTTCCAGGTGAGGTAGAGGCTGCGCTGCTGGCGGGGGATGAAGGGTTTGGCTCTCGGGTTGGGTGTCCAGGTGTCCATATCTGCAGTCCTGCCCTCTGCTCCTGATCACAACACCTGCCTGCAATCACGTCTTCTTCATCTACACATCACAGCAGTAACAAAAGACGGACATAACACATTTCAAATCTTCTTGCAACGTTAAAATGCAATGCAGGTGGCACAACTTTAACATGGGTTACTGCAAATGCGTTATGAACAATTACTAAAACAACGCTAAACTGCATTTGAACTGTAATAAAATGGTATACATGTGCACGAGCTAATGATATTAATAACTCATTATTAATACTGACTACTGCGAACAGATGGTAGCGGGTAACGTTAGCTATCTGAGCACAACAGCTGAAATTCCTTCTAAAGGCAATTTCTTTTGACACTAACATTTCTGTTGACTGTAAGGCTGCACAGAATAAACGCTAGTGACTGTTTACCTCAGCAGCATTTTATGTTGCACGAAAATGACGTCCCGCCTCGCCAGAAAATATAACTGTAATTTAGTTTAGGTCGGATCTAGTAACGTTTGGCCATATTCAGGTAATGAGCATTGTGAAGCCAGATTGCAGGATAACGCCGCACGTTTGTTTTTCAAAATAAAAGCCCCTTATTTTTTTATGGGCAAATAGTGAATGAAATAGTTTTCCTGCCAAAAGTTAGCTACTTAAAAAAATACTTTAAAATAGTAATAATAATCATCATCATAATAATAAGTAAAGTGTTAAACATTAAAATTAATATTAATAAAATATTTAAAATATTATGAAATTATGAGCATTAGCTCAAAGCAGTGCCATTTGGCTGAAAATAGCCATTTAAAGAACATATCCTCCATACAACTACATGAAGGCCTGGAGGCCTACCAAACTTTTAGATGTAAACATGAAAGACAAGGCACTTATTTAATAGCTTGTAAAATGTTAAATGACAAAACTCAGAACAAAATTTGCTAAGCAAGAAAAAAATTATCTAATATTTTTTCAAAACACACAGGCTAGAGGGGGTTGATTTGCTCATATAGATTTGCGGTGTTGAAATTAAATAACAAATTATTTGACTTTATGTAACAAAAGTGGCAATAGGCTGTAAGAGTTTGTCACAAATATCTAAGGTCAGCAGGACATTTTCTTTTCTTTCAACTCTTTAGGTAGGCTATTAAACAGATTAGGATTAAACAGATAAGGATGCATTTCTTTTTCCATTACTATAGACTTCTTTCATTGGTAACTTGTGCAAAGAAGAAACCCCCAATTCTCAGCTTACAAACTGTGTGTGAACAAATTTATCAGATCATCTCTAGCAAGCGGAAAAGGCGGAGTAAAGAAAGGCCTTTAATTGTTCTTTTGGATATTTCACTGTTATTATATGTCTAGCACGCTTATTCTCTAGAAAAAGACCCAGCGCTAAAGGAAAACATGGGACTTCTGTCAGCTTCTGGTTACTTAGGTGAGTTTTTTATATAAAACATATTAACATAAATCATTTGACTGTTTAAGAATCAGCTCTAAAACACAATCCACTGGTCTATTTTATCAATGTTTATCCTGTGTTTAACCTGGTTTAATTGATAAACTCCACAATGTACTCAGAGAGAAAAAAAGATTTAGGATTTTAACGTTGTTGCATTATATCAATTTTCAGTACTGTTTTCCTCCCTGTTCACACATGGAGCATTTCAAGATATGGATCGGTATGAATCAGTCAAAGATTTACACTCAGAAGTTGCTCTAGATGTCGAGCCTGACAGCAGACAACACTTCAGGGGGGAAAATTTCACCCTTCGCTGCTCAGTTAAAGGTATTAATCCAAAAGGCTGGATACTGAGGAGGCTTCAAGGAGCTAAAACGAGATCTGGATGTTTACAGTTAAATGGCACAGAATCTACAGACAGGCCTGAAGAATGTCATTTCATTGACATTGACTATAAGAACAGTGGATTGTACTGGTGTGAGAGTCCTGCTGAAAACAAGACAAGCAACACCATCGATATCACTGTGAGCTGTAAGAACATCATTGTCAATCATGTAGATCAAAATCACACTAATTTAAAGATAATAGTTTTCATTATTAACATGTGACTAACTCCATAGATGACTCAAAAGATGAAAACACATTTACAGGTATGAGATACAGATATAATATCTGTTATTGAATTTGGCATTCTATGTTATAACCGTCCTTAATATGAACTTTGTTATCCAGGATCTTTGGTTTGGGTGTCAGGGCTTTGTGTCATCTTGATTCTTCTGGTGCTTCTTCCTGTGCTCTGGCTGTTGTTTCCAGGTTTCAGGTAGAGTATACAATTCATAACTATTTTACGTTTTGGCAAATTGGTGGCAAATTTGTATGATTGTACATTTGCGTACAATCTGATTACGCCCCACTGAGGGTTAGGTTGAGGGGTGAATCTTCATGCTAATTATTTATTTATTTTTTCCTAAAAATCATATGTTTTTGTACCATTCAAATTGTACAAATTCTATAAAAAACTCACCAACGCATAAAACTATTACGTTTTTCCCATAAGATTGCGTTGCGTATACAGGTATATTCTATATACACACTTAATAGGTCACCCAAAAAAAATTGAAAAAAATGACACTCATGCCATTTTGAACCTTGAGGGTTAGTAAACAATGACAAATTTAAATTTTTTTTAATGAGCAGTTTCTACTATTCAGTTTGTGATATTAATTTAGTTGACTAATTCTGATTTACATTGCTCTCTGTATCAAATATCTGCAATGTTTACTCATGCTTTTCAGGGAGAAATTGCATGTGTGTCCAAATAGGGCATTCAAGAGGGAAAGAGTCCTACAGGAAATGCCTAAAACCAAGCAGGATGTGACTGAAATCCAGTGGGATCTTCCCTGGATGGAGATGGACAATTTGTTGGACAAGCGCCAAACTCCTGGCAGCTGAACTGTCTACATTTCAAATGTGGATGTTATCAGATACACATAGTATTTCTGAAGACAGAAAACAGACACTGTACTTTATAAAGTGAGTCATGGATAATATGACAGATGAATAAAGAGGCCCATCTTGATATTTACAGCATATGGAAGTGTTTTCACACTGAATAATATTTTACCAACTTTATATAAGGTCAAAGTTCTGGCGGGCATCACAGACACTGTTACCTTTCGATACTACACTTGTACTGCGTCTTGCTAGATGCATATGGGAAAAAGCCTTTTTTCTCCTGAACTGAAGCCTTTTCTTCATTCACGCAGTGAAACTGCATGGCCATTGGTTTGTGCAGTGTATTAAAAACGAACCAATGGCTAGGCAGCGGAGCTGCACGTCCATCCTCGATCTCAGACACCTGAATCATGCCCTCATGAAAAGGTCCTTGTGCAAATTTGCTCAGGAGACTGGTTCTTTTCGCTGAATGCATACTTTCTGGCCCCCCGCACTTTTACAAAGTGCATGGACTCTACTACGAGAAGTGCTCTCTCCCCTCTCAGACAGATGGGAATCCGCATTCTCAATTACCTCGAGGACTGGCTCGTTCTGGCCCAGTCGGAGGCAGAAATAATATCACACAGGACCCTCCTCCTCAGCCACCTGGAGTGCCTGGGACTCAGGTTCAATTTTGCCAAGAGCTGGTTGTTCCCCAGCCAGCGAATATCGTTCCTGGGAACAATTTTCGACTCAGCCCAAATGAGAGTTGTAGTCACGCCGGAACGGGCTCTGGCCATGCGGAGGCTGGCGACCTCCTTCGAGATTGCTACCACTCGCCCTCTCAAAGCGTTTCAAAGGATGTTGGGCCTCATGGCGGCGGCATCACCAGCACTACAGTTGGGTCTGCTTCGTATGCGCCCCCTTCAACGCTGGTTGAAACCACGGGTTCCATCCCATGCGTGGCGTCATGGACGCCTGCACATCAGGGTGAGTCAGGCCTGTGTAACAGCCCTGGGCCACTGGAAGAACTCCCGTTGGATGGAACAAGGCATGGCCATGGGGATGGTTTGCAGAAGGACAGTTGTCACGACAGACGCCTCCAACTCAGGTAGAGGGGCGCTGTGTGAGACCATACTGACTTTCGGCCACTGGTCGAAGGTGGAAAAAGGCTTCCACATCAACTGCCTGGAAATGCTAGCAGTATGTCGAGCCTGTCAGTTCTTCCTGCCAGTCCTAAAAGGACACCATGTGCTAATCCGATTGGACAATAGGTCCATGGTGTCCTACATAAATCACCGGGGAGGCCTCTCCTCGAAGCGTCTCTTCACTCTGGTAGAGCGCCTCCTGGAATTGGCTCAACTGAACCTGCGCTCACTGAGAGCAGCGCATATACCGGGCAAATTGAACCAAGGAGCGGACTTGTTATCAAGGAGCAATGTCCCTTCAGGGGAGTGGACGCTCCATCCGCAGACGGTTCAGAGGATCTGGGAGATCTTCTGCGGGGCCGAGGTGGACCTCTTCACCTCAGAAGACAACTCTCACTGCCCAACTTATTTCTCAAAGACCAGGGACGTGTTGGCCCACGATTTGGCCCAACCTCCTTCTTTATGCTTTTCCCCCGATTGCCCTGACCCCACAGGTAATCAGGCAATTAAGGGAACAATAACACAAGGTTCTCCTGGTGGCCCCCCTTTGGATGAACCAGCTGTGGCTATCAGAGCTAACTCAGCTGTTGATAGCGGCCCCTTGGCCCGTTCCGCTGAGACGGGATCTCCTCTCTCAAGCGAACGGGACAATATGGCATCCTCGGCCCGACCTATGGGCCCTGCACCTCTGGCCGCTCGACGGGAGCCTTCGAGCCTCCCAGAGCGCGTCTTAAACACAATTTAAGAGGCTACAGCCCAGTCTACGAGACGCCTCTACGCCTTGAAGTGGTCTTTTTTCTCCACTTGGTGTCTAAACCGCGGCAAATACCCTCATACTTCCGATTGACAGAGGTGTTGTCATTTCTGCAAGAGCTGCTGGATAAGGGATGCTCCCCATCCACGCTCAAAGTCTATGTGGTGGCTATAGCGGCCTCTCATGCCCCTATTGCGGGCCAATCAGTGGGCAGAGACAGCGCGGTTATCTGCTTCCTAAGGGGTGCCAGGAGGCTGAATCAGCCTCGTCCCCCTACCGTCCCTTCATGGGATCTGTCCACTGTGCTGAGGGCCCTGAAGTGCCCCGCTTTTGAGCCGCTACAGTCTGCCAACATTCGGTCGCTGTAGCTGAAGACTGCTCTGCTTCTAGCACTGGCATCAGTAAAGCGAATAGGGGACCTGCAGGCACTCTCCATTAGCCCTGCCTGCATGGAATTCGGGCCTAACGACACTAAAGTCGTCCTGAAACCAAGGCACACAACTAAGGTGCTCTCCACTCCGTTCAGAGCACAGGTCATTAGGCTCTCCGCGCTTCCTCCCTCTGAAGAGGACAGAGAGTTATCTCTGCTCTGCATAGTCAGAGCTCTGAGAATCTATATTGAGCGTTCCACCCCTTATAGGTGGTTGGAACAACTCTTTGTCAGCTTCGGTAACCGCACCAAAGGGCTTCCGGTCACGAAGCAAAGACTCTCTAGATGGATAGTAGACTCCATCTCACTAGCGTACTCTTCTTTGGGCCTTCAATGCCCCATTGGAGTACGGCCCCACTCGACTAGAGGCATCGCCTCGTCTTGGGCATGGTCCAGTGGTGTCTCCATTGCGGATATTTGTGAGGCGGCCGGCTGGGCCTCGCCGTCCCGCATTCGCAAGGTTTTATAACCTGGAAGTCCCGGCCTTGCAGGCCAGGGTCCTTTCCGCTTGAAGAGGCATGCACTGCGTAAATAGATCTGGCAGAGAGCCATTGGCCGTATCACACTCAAGCTCTCTGGCATTAGTTCACCTGTTAGCTCTCGACCCCTGGGTGTCGAAGTTACAGGAGTACTCTGGAACGATTAACCAGGCCAGGACCTCAGGAAGCTCAGCCCGTCTTAGCCTTGGGTTGTTGTTAACTTCTCTATGGGCATTGGTTGCTTATGGAAGTTTGATACTTTTAGTCGTTCCACTAGATTGGCACGGCGTGATTGTACTGTGTTCCCATATGCGTCTAGCAAGACGCATTACAAGTGTAGTATCGAAAGGGAATATACTCGGTTACTAACGTAACCTCGGTTCCCTGAGATATGGGAACAAGTACTGCGTTACTAGCCGTGCTATGTAGCTGCACGACTCGAAGTAACCTGAGAATCCTGTGGCTTATATAGCCAGATGCCCCACCCATTCTGGCAGGCTTTGGCAGGCTTGGCGGGCTTCGTTGCCATAGGCTCGTGCAGCTCCGCTGCCTAGCCATTGGTTAGTTTTTAATACACTGCACGAACCAATGGCCGTGCAGTTTCACTGCGTGAATGAAAAAAAAAGGCTTCTTTCCCATATGCGTCTAGCAAGACACAGTACTCGTTCCCGTATCTCAGGGAACCGAGGTTACGTTAGTAACCGAGTACGTTCTCCAGAGCAGCTCCTGGCCAAGGGCAAATGAAAATGTTGTCTCATGTAATACCTGTCCCTGGAGCTGTCACCTTAAGGATAGCATGTCCTGGTTTTGTCTGGCTTGTCACAAACTGGCTTTCTAGTGGATATGCTTCAGGCAATGATGGACCTGACTTAGAAGTACATTTCTATACTATATTTGGCATTTTACAATGTACTTGTGGAAAGAAAGCAAAGGTGAGTAACGCAGAAAGAATATGGATTTGGATCCAAAAGAAAGATTCAAAAGATAAATTAAATAAATAACTAAATAAATGGGTAACACTTTATTTTAAGGTGTCCTTGTTACACGTTACATGTACTTACTATTATAATAACAATAAATTAAGTAAAGTCAAACTCTAATCCTGACCCCAACCATATAGTAATGTAGTTAATTAATATTACTCAGTACCTAAATTAATAATTATACTGTAACAAGGACACCTTAAAATAAAGTGTAACCAATAAATGTATATAACAGACCAAAAAAAAAAACTGTTAACAGAAGTCAAATAACTCTAGAGGGCAGTATTTCTTTACATTGTCCTAATGCATTTTTTAAAACACCAATTCACCCATTAGAGTCAAATTAAATTACTATAGACAACAGTAAATCTGAACCTGAACCAATATTTTAAAATAATAAAATGTGTAATAGTGTACAAGTTCAAATTTTCTGCTGTAATTTTAAGATTTTGTTGAAAATATGGTTGCTTTAGTTTTAACAGAATTAAATAAAGGACAGTCAAAATTCTAATTTAGAATGTCCATATTCATGCATGATATTGTTTTCTTTCTGTTTTTTGTATTAATTGCATTGTTGCAAGCATGCCTAATTTTTCTTTATAATATATGTGATATTTAATGTCACTAACATATTGATTGAAGTGCATTGCATTTTTTTTTTGGAATGCGAGGTAATTTAGTAGGACCGATAAGCTCTATTTTCTTTTGCTCTCTCTTGTGCTTGTGTTTTAGCATGCTGCTGGCTGACAGACGATCAGCAGTCAGTGTGTCTGACCGCTACAGTGCCCTGCCTGGTTTCTCCTGCTAGTGACTGGCAGTTTGAGAGGGGCACCTTGGAGACGAAGGTCGAAGGCCAAAATACTGCCACACTATAAGCAGAATAAGTGTTTACAAAGCATTTAAACTTTGCTCTCTCATGGACCAGCCAGACATAAAAATGTAAAAACACAAACTTACTAAAATTTTTAACTACAATTAAAATGAAACAGAAAATTATTTTTCAGCTCAAAATTTAAACTATAATCGTTTGATAATAAACACTGTAGTAGTATATCATATGATTCTAAAATATTCTGGTTCAAAATCCATTATGTTCTACACAAATACTGTGATGTAGGGTTGGGCCGATAGACGATGCTGCCGTCCATCGCCGCTGGCTGACAGACATCACGATGTTGAATATTATTTAGATTTTTTTCATGAAAATCCACTTAATATTAGCTA